TTCTGGCTTGGATTAGTGTGAATTTTGAGTTCCACTCTTTCTGTGGTTTGTCCTACCCACCACTGAAGATAAATTAAAGCCCTGGGAAGATGGTAGACATTTCCACTGGGGACGCTTATTCTGATTATCAACCTAACCTTTCATTCCTGCCACCAGGAGCTACTCTGGCAACTATCCTGGTGTCCTAGGCTGTAGCTCTGGCTGAGGCTCTGGCGACATGGATACGACTGCTGCCGCCCATCATCCTGTAGCAGATACTGGTCCTAGGGATGTTACTGAAAAACCTCAGGAGGTACTCCAGGACTCTCTTCTTGCATTTCCTGAATCCACTTTCCGAGTTCTTTTCTTTCAGAAGTAGTGTTTCTCTCATTCTAGAATACTTGGGAAGGAGAGAAAGTTGCAATTCTACATCCATCAGTTGAGTTGAATAAAATCATCTGGAATGTCTTGCTTTACAAAAGAAACTTCTTCTCCTGTTACTGCATTACAATTACTGCTCTGCATACATTTAGTTCAACATTCTTCCTGTGAAACATTTATTTCCATTTTCAGTAAAATCTCCTGTATTGAAAATTATGCTCTTTTTTACATTACTTTTGTTACATCTGTTGCATGCACATGAGTGTGTATTTTTGTGATAGCAACATCACCTATCTTAATATGCTAAAAAAATTAAAGCCTAAGAATAAATTATTTCTAAATGAAATTTGTTTTTGATAAAGCTGTAATCACTGCAACCACCTTATTATATTTAAACATTAGCCTGTATGTTGAGTTTTTAATTAACGGATAAAAATCCCACTCCAAATGATGCTCCTATTTCCAATCATCATATTCTACACACCTCTGTCTTTGATTATTTCCTTACACCTCATATTACACACCATCCTGTGGTTCCTGGTGGTTGTACTTTGATTTTTCATTTCATGTCCTTTAAGTGACCCTCCATATCCCACATCTAATAGTAGCCCACAGAGCAGATATGTATATCATATTTGTCTTCAAGAATTAGTAGAATAGAATTTCAACATCACTGTATTGAAGACTTATTTTGACCTAATAATTTGTATGATTTTGATCTTTGTTTGAAACTATAAACTTTTCCCCAAATGATTGAAAAAAGCATAGTCATTTTATCAATATGAAATATCAACATGTTACGTGTCGCAATTATTATTCCTTAAGAATAATATACATGGACAAGCAACTCTTTATAAATTTCAACTTTGTATTGATTAATTTTTAAAACTGGATCATAAGATTAAATAACATTTATGGTTTAGTATACATAATTAGAAGTCTTTTTTCATTTTTCTCAGTAGATAAAATATTTTAATCTATGTATCCATCTCATATAATGGAATTTTCTTGGCTTTCTAAAAATACCACGGCCTTGAGGCACCTGGGTGGCTCAGTGGGGCTCTCTGCTCAGCAGGGAGCCTGCCTTCCCCTCTCTCTCTCTCTGCCTGCTGCTCTACCTACTTGTGATCTCTCTCTCTGTGTCAAATAAATAAAATCTTTTAAAAAAATAAATAAACAAAAAATAAAATTAAAAATACCACAGCCTATGTTTTGAGAGAAAAATCAAGTAACCCTAAGAAAACAAAGTCATCTATAGAATCTATGTGGTTCCAGCACCCAAGAAAAGCCCGGAAGTTTGATAGATTTGAGTTTTGTTTTTGTCTCTGAGTTTTTTTTAATGAATAAATTGAAAATAAATTAATAAATAAATAAGGCTGACAATCTTTTGTCAATGTTTTATGCCACCTTTAAAATGCTATCAAATTAAGAGCTTACTTTAAAAATTAATAGCATGTGAAAATACATGGCTGTTAAGATGGGTACACATTTATTCTCTCCAGGTCCTCAATGATTCTATTTTGTCCAATTGATATTGTTCAAACTCTTCTCATGTTAAGCTCAGAGGGGAAGATAAATTTTGTAACAATACAAACTAGTGGGTTTGTACTTCACCATCCTTTACCTATGTTCAGAAGTACCTGGAAGACAAGTGTACGATATCAAATCCTCTGGTGTTTCTGATGAAATAATTAGACAACTGTGTGCTTAAAATTGCCTACTAAAATAGAGCAAAATTACTTTTTTATACATAATTGGAAAAACATCACTAATTCACTTATATGTTCATATATTTTACCTTTCTCGAATGATACTGCATGCATACATTGTTTCAGTAGTTTTCAGCCAGTTGGATAGGTACCAGTTCTCTTTATGGTTCAAACTTGGATCCAGCTAATGTTGGTAAAAAAACCCAGCTCAGTTATGAAAATCAAATGTGCATTTAAAAATGAAAACCTAGAGCATGGTCTCCTATAGACAAGAAATTCTTTTTCTTTATGCATCAAGAACTACACCCAGTTGATTCCCAAGCATAACCATACCTCTTCCATAATGCAGGTATCCCCCACCACTATTTAGCTAACCTGTGTTAGCTTTCTGAAGCTCCCCACCAATATATAATAAACAAAGGAAAGCCTGGGGACCTAAGAGTGGTAAGGAAGAAAGACAAAACAGAACACAGCTCCACCAGAACCAGTGGACTAAGCCTCCTCATTTCTCTTATCTACATCAGTGACACTTGATCACACTGTGACAGATGAATGCATAAAATGCCATAGGAAATAGACTCTCTGAATATGGAGCCATCGTGCTTTAATGGAAAAGAATACAAGACAAATGCCAAGTTGTGTAGGTAAATGGACAACTTCACATATATACTCAAACACAAACATTAAAAATTAATATAGGGGCACCTGGGTGGCTCAGTGGGTTAAAGCCTCTGCCTTCAGCTCGGGTCATGGTCCCAGTGTCCTGGGATCGAGCCCCACATCGGGCTCTCTGCTCTGCAGGGAGCCTGCTTCCACCTCTCTCTCTATCTGTCTGCCTCTCTGCCTACTTGTGATCTCTGTCTGTCAAATAAATAAATAAAATCTTTGAAAAAAAGAAAAAGAAAAAAATTAATGTAAATATCAATGAAAGAAGAGGTGTATTTATAATAGAATGGAAATGTACTTGCAGTTAGTCAATTACTCATCATCATTAATCAGTGAGAAACACTATCTAGAGTTGAAAAATCTTTTGCTGTAGTAAAAATAATTCATAAAATTTATAGATATGTGTCTCCAAGTAACTTCCTCTTCTAACCACCCATCTCATATATGATTGTGTAGTGGACATTAATATTCTTCAAATGAAAGTAGGGGAAAAAAACAATAAGGTCTTATATGCTTGTGGAATTACATGGAGTCTGATCCAAGACATTAAATATATTTTTATATAGTTCACAGAGTGGACAAACCTGTTATAATATAATAGAACCTTACCATACAAGGCAAGTGAATACACTGTGAGAAACCAGACATTATAAAAACATAGTCATGGCTTAAGGGATGCACTTGACATAAATGAAAAAAATAGAAATTCAAGGGGAGATTTATTGCAAATTAGTCTGAAATATGGGTCAACATTGACTGTGGTTTGCCATATCTACTATTTATATTATATAAAAAGTCCTATGAAGATGGTGACGTTCAAACTCGGGAAACTTATTTCGTGCTCCTCCATTGAATCTTGCACTACTAACACATATGTTACTATTGTGGTGGTCATGACTACAGTTATGGTGGTCTGAGAGGTAATGATAGAATTTTTAAGATCAACATCACAGAACTTCTAGCAGTAATGGGTCTATGTAACTATCATCAAGTGTAAAAGTTAATAGATAAAATTTGTTGGAAAAGATTGTGTCACGAACTCAACAAACAATCCCAACATTACTAAATGTGAAACAATGGGACAACCAGACACCAGGTGCCCCCTAATATTACAGAAAAGAATACTACAAAGCATCTATACAGCCTTTTTCTTGTCAAATAAATAAGAAGAATCACTTCAACCATCTACACCTACCTACCAGGACAGCGATGATATAAGGGATAGAGGAACAGAAGAAAAGAAAATCAAGGTAGACATCAGCCACATCCAAAACTTAAGAATTCTACAGGACAATAATATGGTCTTGTTAAAAAACAAAATGCATGAAGAAAAGGATTGGAAAAGAACCGTATGTCTTTAAAAAGAGTTAAGAGACAATATGTCTAAATGTGAGTCCCAACATGAAAAAATTCACAGTAAAAATTTATTTATGAAACAACTGAGAAAATCTGAGCATGAATTAAGTATTAGGGAATGCTAAGGAACTTAAGAAATTGTCTGTGTGATAATGGTATAATTATATATGTCTTTTAAGAGCTCACTTTGTGATAGACATACACACTGAAGTACTTATAAGAAAAATGCTACTTGTCTTAGATTTGTTTTAAAATATTCAGCAAGAATAACAATAACTACAAAAAGGAGAGAAGGAACTGATAGTGGAATACTGACAGATATTAAATCCTGCTGATGTGTTTATAAAGCTTCAAAATACATCTCTATATACCTTTATGCCCACATGAAATTTATTTATGAAAGTAAATAATAAACTTGGAAAGTTTACCTGACTCTAATGGATAAGTTGTATCATTAAGAAAGTTATTTTTCACTTTATTGAAGACCCTCATATATTTGAAGAAATGATAGAATTTTAAAAATCAACATTTAATTGTCAATGATTAAACTAGATAAAAATTGGTTCAAATATTTTAAGCAAAATTAAAAAAAAAAAGAAAAAACCCGATCGGGGTTTGAAAAAGAGTATAAGAAAAACACATCAAAGGCATGTAATTTGATTGTAGGGAAGCTGACTCAACAGCCAAATCATCCCAAGTCATCCTGCGCAGGCGGGCCTCACCTTGCCTAATGAAACAAAGACTCAGGAAGTATACTGATATAAATTAGTAGGAAATATGTGGTCAACAAGTCTTGCAATGTGCCCCACCCACTGAGGGCACGTATAAAAGGACCTGGGCAGATGGTGGTGTTCAAACTGACAGAAACTGATTCCCTGCTCCTCAGCAAAACCCTCCACTCCTGAAACCATGTCTTACTACGGAAACTACTATGGTGGCCTCGGCTGTGGCTATGGTGGCTGTGGCTATGGTGACTGTGGCTATGGCGGCTGGGGCTATGGTGGCTATGGATGTGGCTACGGTGGCCTGGGCTGTGGCTATGGTGGCTGGGGCTATGGCGGCTATGGATGTGGCCACAATGGTGTGGGCTATGCCTGTGGTGGTTGTGGATATGGCGTCAACCGCCCATCTTGCTGCAGAAGATGCTGGTCCTGCGGACTCTACTGAGAAGCTTCCAGAGAAACTCAACTTACTGTTCTCCTCCAGCTGCCTGAATCTGCCTCCATGATTCTTCCTATGAATAATTCCATTTTCTATTCCAAAATGTCAACATCATCCTAAGATATCTACAAAGATAAAATAAAATAGGTCAGATTCTGCAAATCTTACTAGAGTCACTGAAATCATATGGAATGTTTCAGATTTTTTTAAAAGCTTTTCCTTTGATATTGTATTGCCTTCCAAATTTCTTACCTTTTTGATCAACAATCTTATGTGAGAAAAATTTAGAATAATTTTAATAAACATTTATCTCATTGAAAGTACTTGTTGCATTTATTTTTTTTTTAATTTCTTTTCAGCGTAACAGTATTCATTGTTTTTGCACCACACCCAGTGCTCCATGCAATCCTTGCCCTCTCTAGTACCCACCACCTGGTTCCCCCAACCTCCCACCCCCCGCCCCTTCAAAACACTCAGATTGTTTTCCAGAGTCCATAGTCTCTCATGGTTCACCTCCCCTTCCAATTTCCCTCAACTCCTTTCTCCTCTCCATCTCCCCTTGTCCTCCATGCTATTTGTTATGCTCCACAAATAAGTGAAACCATATGATAATTGACTCTCTCTGCTTGACTTATTTCACTCAGTATAATCTCTTCCAGTCCCATCCATGTTGCTACAAAAGTTGGATATTTATATTTTTTTTTCTTCATTTGTGTGTGTGTGTGTGTGTGTGTGTGTGTGTGTGTGTTTAAATAATTCAATTTAATATTGCTTTTGGGGGATTAATATTTTCAATGGCTTTGCAACACTGCCACATCTTAATGCTATACATGAAGGGGGAATATCATATGAGGAGTCATAATCACAATAACAGAAGTAATATAATCCATTGCCTTAAAAGCATCTGGCACATAAAGGACCCTCAATAAAATATTGCCTAAATGATGGACTATTGCTGCCTTAAATGATGGGACAGAGCAAAAACCATGCAATAGCATTTTAAATATTTATTTATTTATTTATTTATTTGAGAGAGAGAGAGAATGCACATCAGCAAGGTAAGGGGTAGGGGGAGAGAGAGAATCTCAAGCAGACTCCTCTCTGAGCATGGAGCCCAACCTGGAACTATCATATGATTTCACTTACTTGTGGAGCATAAGGAATAACATGGAGGACATTGGGAGATGGAGAGGTGAAGGGAGTTGGGGGAAATCAAAGGGGGAGACAAAGCATGAGAGACTGTGGACTCTGAGGAAGAAACTGAGGGTTTTGGAGGGGAGGGGCATGGGGGGATGGTTGAGCCTGGTGGTGGTATTATGGAGGGCATGTATTACATGGAGCACTGGGTGTGGTACATAAACAATGAATCTTGGAACACTGAAAAAAATAAAATTAAATTAAGATGTTAAAAATAAATAAATAAATTCCAGTTACTTAAAAAAAGTTTTACCTCTTACGCTGTTCTAGCATTCAACAATCTATCCCTGTAAATATTGCTGCATTGCATTTACCTTCATATTTCCATTCTGTTGCCTTTTCTGATTATGTGTGTGTATGCATGTGAGAGAAAGGAATGGAGGGAGAGATAGAGAGACAAATGACAGACAAGCAGAGAAAATGAGGCAGAAACCAAGATGAGAGAATAGACTGTCTTGGGCTGTCTCTGAACTTTTGTTGTAGCTACATACACATTCAAGGATCTGCACATCCATTCTTTTTATCTCAGAACATATGTAACCCAGGCTTCCATGTGAATTAGCAGCTACTACTACATCTTCTCAGACTATCAAATTGCTTTTCTAGGCCAAACTTTTTTTATTTTTTTATTTTATTTTATTTTTTTTTAAAGATTTTATTTGTTTATTTGACAGAGAGAGATCACAAGTAGACAGAGAGGCAGGCAGAGAGAGAGAGAGAGGGAAGCAGGCCGAGAGCCTGATGCGGGACTCGATCCCAGGACCCTGAGATCATGACCTGAGCCGAAGGCAGCGGCTTAACCCACTGAGCCACCCAGGCGCCCAAGGCCAAACTTTTTTTAAAGATTTTATTTATTTATCTGACAGAGAGAGAGAGGCAGGGAGTGGGGGAAGAAGGGAGAGAGTAGCAAAGGGAGAGGCAGATTTCCCTCTGCGCAGGGAGCCTGATGTGGGACTAGAACCCAGGACCCTGGGATCATCATTTGAGCCAAAGGCAGATGCTTAACCAACTGAGCCACCCAGGTGCCCCAGGCCAAATTTTTAAATGACACTTCTGCCCACCAAAATAGTCCTTTTCCTCATCACTACATTTAAAAACCTCTGCCTTTGTCCATTTTTGATTACTTAAGTTTTGACTGAGTTACTTAAAACTATGCCTCAAAAAAGAGATCATTTTCTCCTCACACCTCACAGGCTTCTACCTACATCATGCATGCTGTCCATGAAATAGTTCACGAAACATTCTGTGCCTGGTGGCTGCTGACTGCCCGACGTTTGATGTGCAAGTCCTCCAGGAAGGACCTGGTCACTGCTCACCACCTCAGCATGATAGTTTTCAATGCACTGAGTACCACCTCCCCTTCCCACTTTGTTTAGGCCCATATTTAAAACCTCCAAAATGAATGTGCCCACTTATCCTTTTTTTTTTTTTTCTTAAGAAATTTCATGACATCGGGAAATGGTAAAGAGACAATAGAGGTATATGGAATCCATTATCAGCCAGAAAAAGATCATTATGATTAAGTGGACCTTCTACTTTATTTTCAAGAAATTGCTACATTTTTCTCAGAAAAAAAAAAATGTTTGGCCATTATCCCATTTGAAAAGTGAAACCTACCAACAAGATTCAGCTTGATAACATAGATGACAAGCATCATTTTGATAACTGAAAATCTACCTTAATGATGTGAAGAGATTGTGTAGTAAGTCTTCATCCAACGCAGAAAAATAATGATTTGTTTTCCAATTCCAGAAGAAAGCAAATTTATTTTATTTATTTTTCTTTGCAATGCTGGAAGTTTCTCTAAAGTCCTTTTACCACTTCTGGTCTGTCCTGCTGTGAATGAGAAGGTCAGTGATACGAGGAAACACCGGAAAAATAACCGCTGTCACGTAACACAATGTCTTAAAAATGGCTGGCCCGTGGTTAGCAACAGATAAGTAACAACTGAGTGGTTGAAAGAGGCTGAAAAACCTATGTAAATTTTTCTGTGAAGTTTCATATAATCAGAAGTCTGAGGGAAAGCAGCGTTCTTCATCCCATCTATATACCTCTTAATACTCTCAATGTTCAAAGCAGTGTTTGTGGGGTCAGAGAAAATGTCAGTTTGGCAGCTCTATAGTCAGGAAGGTTCTCCCCCCACCTCACAAAATACCCCAATAGCTATATTTAGAGTGAAAATACATAATCTGCATTAATCTATTTGTCAAAACTCATTAGCTATCCAACTAACTTTTCAAAAGTTTGCATTGTAACACTTGGCTTTTACAAAACAAAACAAAACAAAAAAACCCTACATTTGTACTGGTTTTCTCTAACCAAAAGAAATCTGAAAGGGGTTTTTGCTTTTGCAAAGGAAAAAAAGGGCAAAAAGTGAAAATAGCATTCAGTGTTGCTTTTGCAGTGAGTCATTACAGGTACAGTCAGCCCGCGGGCCTCTGAGAGTGACACCCCTGACTCCCGCTCTTTCCCCAAGACCTCTCAGCATCTCAGCCTCACCCCCAGAGCTCTGAACCCTTTGTCTGTGAGCATCCATGCTTTATCTTGATTTATTTCATGCATCTGTTAGCAAAATGTGTCCTAAAGTATCAGAAAAGCCTAAGAAAGGTTGTTTTTGTTTTTCTGAGTCTGGGAATGCTCAGGAATTTTTTCATATAAATTAATGATAATTGTTTCTTTGCTTTATGCCATTTCAATTTAAGAAAGCTTTCTTAGGAATATTGTTCTCTTGGACAGTGGAAGAAACCCATCCTCTTAAATAGACCTAAATGTATTTTATGTAAAGTGTATTTTAATTAAATTCAATTATATTTTAATTTTCATTAAAAATTTGAAATTTAAAAAAAGAGAAAGAAAGAAAGAAGCTAGAGCATAGACTCTGCTGTGTTCTCAAAGAGTCTTTCCATGACTGAAGATTTCTATCTCCACCAGCACTTCACCAATCAGCTGAAACTGAAAGAATAAAGAATGATGCAGGGCTCTCACTGCCTCTCTGATAATATCCACACATTGTTCTGGACACATATAACTACAGCAAATCTTAGGCACCTGGAAAAAACAGAAATGAGCCATGATAAAAAAGACATGAGTTGAGAACAGAGCATCAAGCTTAACCTCCATCTGGTTTGCAGATATATCTACAACACCTTCCTATGTGATGACACAAGGAAGCATAAGACATAAATAATTTCTGCCCATAAAATGGTCACACATTTTCTGGAAAGATCAAAGTCACACATAGTAGAAGAAAGGTTGATAAATAAATGCCAAATATGTCCATATTTGGCTTATATGGTACTTACTACCATATTTAACGTAATCAATAAATAGTGACATTGAGTTGGAAGGAAGTTTTTTTTTTTTAAAGTATACAAATATATATCATACTCACCCTTTATGTGAAAGATTCAGGAAACCTAGTCCTCCAGACAAGACCCATTTTAAAATTCTTCTTAAAGAATAATGGAAACAAAACCAAACAATGGGATTCCTATTTTCATGTTTTGCATCATGCTGTGTGATCAAGTCGTATTTTTTCAAATAAATAGAGAGTGAGACATAGCCTTGAAAATAGAAAGAGTTTCATTTTAAAGGCCCATAAGTGGGGCTCCTGGGTGGCTCAGTGGGTTAGGCCGCTGCCTTCGGCTCAGGTCATGATCTCGGGGTCCTGGGATCGAGTCCCGCATCGGGCTCTCTGCTCAGCAAGAAGCCTGCTTCCTCCTCTCTCTCTCTCTCTGCCTGCCTCTCCGTCTACTTGTGATCTCTCTCTGTCAAATAAATAAATAAGATCTTTAAAAAAAAAAAAAAAA